TTGTTTTTATAGTAGGAGGGTTTTAATAGAAATACACACACACACACGTTAACTTTGCACGAAAAAAGAAAGTGTGCAATTATCATTTATCTATATGTAGTCGAGATTTAGGAAAGTTGCTGAAACACAGAACTTTTTATAAGAACCATTCTATCTCATAGACTGTAAAGTCCAGCCCATACCTAATAAGAACTTCCTCTGTAACCTAATGGTCATCTTGAGGGCAAGAGTGTATTGTGTGGGTAAATATACAAATATAATATATAGAATATAAAAATAATATTTATATATAATATACTACTGTGATAAATTATATATAATATGTAATATATGTATGTATGTGTATATGTATGTATGTGCATATATGTATGTACATTTGTGTGTGTATATATATATACCCTCCCTACATACACATTCCCATATATGTATGGGAATGTATATGTATGTGTGTACGTGTACACATTGATTTGCTTTTTTTTTAAATCTTCAATGTTTAGCACAGTGCCTGACATATAGTATGTGATTAATAAATCAATAAATGTTTGTTGACTTGACTTTGAAGACACCACGCAAGGGGGAACCCCACTACCTTCTGATGTAGCCGATTCCATTTTGGATAATCCTAACCATTAGGAAAAATTTTTTGTCATATTAAGCCTGCTAGCTCTGCTGTCTGAAGGCAATCAGAAGAAATCTAATACCTGTTAAAAATGCCAACACTTCAAATATTTCAACACAGCTATAATATGTACCTTGAAGATTCTCTTCTTTAGACTAAATGTCCCTAGTTCTTGAATCAGTTGTGATATGACACGATCTCCAAGCCCTTCACCATTCTTGCAGCCTTCTTCTGGAAATGCTGTAATCTGCTGCTACCTTCCCTAAAATGTACAGTCCAGAAATAAACACAGTATTCCAAGTATTATTTGACCATGGTGGTGCACATTATAACTATCAAATAGATATGATACTTCTCTTAATGCAGCCTGAAATCTCATTGGCTCTTTTGGCTTCCAAATTGCACTACTAAGTGCTGGACTTCGAGTCAGGAGGACCTGACTTCAAAGCTACCCTCAGATACTTAATAGGTGTGTGATCCTGAGCAAGTCACTTAACCACTGTCTGCTTCAGTTTGCTAATCTGTAAAGTGAGGATAATCATAGTACCTATTTTGGAGAGTTGTATGGATAAAATGAGATAACAAATGTAAAGTACTTTTCAGACCTTAAATAGTTACTTAAATGCTAATTATTGATACTATTTCTATTGACTCATATTGATAAGAATGCTAAAATATAATTAAACAGAGTCCTTCTCTTTTTTAAAAAAAATTTCCTCTTTTATTGTCCTAACTCTTACCATCAGTATTGATATTTTAAGTCCCAAACATTGGAAGCCCCACCATGTCACCATTATAAGCACTTAGCTTGACTTTAAGATATAAGATGATATATACCTGACACCTACAGTATTTGGGCCAGTAGGAACAACTCAATTTCATTCAGAGAAGCTGTTTACAATGTTTTGATTTCTAGAAATTGGAAATGCTTTTAGCCCAAGCAATTTAAAACACACAATAGCATTCCAATTCAATGAATCTGAACTTCTGAAGGCAGTGACTGACAAATGAATTACTCTGTAGCAGCTCCCACAAACTGAGGGTATTTCCTGCTGCATCCAACAGTGTCATCTCCAAGGATGAAATCAGATACTTGGAGATGAAAGGGCTTTTTTTGTCCAACAAGGAAAATAAACAAATGAGAACAGGAAGAAAACAAGAGTTCACTTTATAATTCAATCCCTATCAGTTAGATGCCTGGGTACTGCAATGTGCTTGGATTGGTGAGGGTTTTAACTGGAAAGGTCAATTATCAGGGTGCAATACTAAAGGGGAAGTTGAGAATCTTATAAAGGATACCCTTTCTGGGTCACAATTTCATTCTCTGACAAATGATGGAATTATATTAAATGATCTCTAAAATTGCTTATTTAATACCTAGCATTTACCCAGAACTTTCAGATTTGCAAAACAATTTATGTATGTTGTCTCATTTAATCTTTACAACAACCTGGGTGCTAGGTGCTAATATTATTCCTACTTTACAGAAAGTAAAAGTGAGGCTGAGGGAGGTTAAGGGACTTGACCAGGAACATAGGGCTTTAGATTTATTGTCAGGAGTTTGGGGTTCTAATCTTGTCTCTGGTAATTATTCCCACTGTGGCCATCAACAAGGGTCGATAAATTTCCATTTCCTTATCTGTTAAATAATGTGTGTTGGAATATGTGATTTCTAAGTTCCCATTCAGCTCTGAAACTCCATTGATCCTATAATTCTAGCCAAAACATTCCATGCAATAAAGTTTATAAAATTTATTTTCTTTAAAAGGAAAAGCTAAACACAGTTTTCATTTGGACATGGAAAACCCAGCCAATAGGAAAATGTTCAGAAGATTTCAGCGACTCTGGGGTAGTTGGCTTTGTTTTGTAAGAAGTGGAAAACCTAACAGAGATCATCAGGTCCATCCCTTTGTGGTTGGAAGAGGAAAGCTGGGTCAGGCAGGATTCCTCGGAAAAGAGTGTTTGAGGGCAAGGTTGGGATAGAGGTGGAGTGAATTAGCCACTCATCCCTAAAGTCACCTTTTAGCAGATGAGCCAATTGTACAGAGGAGGCTGCCCCATGCCACAAAGTAATGGCGTAGGCTGCGGTGTGCAGTTGGTAGGTAGAACAGTGCCACCTAGTGGCTGATGTTGAGCAACAAATAAATGAATAACTCTCAAGGCTCCCTTTCTCTTTCCAAAATAGAAAGAAATAAATCTTTTATGGTTATTTAAGGTCGTTTTTACAAACACATAAAAGTCCACAGTGGTGTTCTAAGCAGATTTATGGGGAGTTTATTGAAATGCTTCCCTTGAGTCTTAAGTCCTTCTCCCCACAGCCAAAGTTAACTTATAAAGGGGAAAAAAATGTGGAGTTGCCGGCAGATTGAAAAATAAAAATGTCTCAGAAGAACAGGCACTATTTGCTATTGGTAAACATGTGTATAGCTTCCCCAGGAACGAAAGATAGAATTCCTTGGCACATTAAGTACAGTCCAGGAAAGGTGGAGGTGTTTCTGCATTTACAGCCTCACAGATTCTTAATGATGTCAAAGATCATGTACATCATGTATTTGACCACCCCACTCCACCCCCAGTTGAAGCAAGAATGCCTTAATCATTATCCCTGACAAATAACAGTTACTCAGTCTTGATTTTAATTCTTTCAGTGACAGGAAAGTCACTACCTCAGAAAACAGCCTGTATCCCCATTCTTGAAAAGTTCTAGCTGTTGGGAAGTTCTTAAGTCAAGCAGTCATTGTTTTATGGAATCCTTGATCTTTGCCCATTCCTTGCTAGAAACTGTGGAGACCACAGGTCAGTCAGTCAATAAATATTAAGCACCTAGTATGTGCCAAACACAGTGCTAAGCAGTAGGGATACAAAGAAAGTCAAAAGACGGTCTCTGCCCTCAAGAAACTCACGATCTCCTGGAGAAAGACAGCATATGAAATAGAAACTGTAAAGGTGGGGAAAGACTACATGTGAGGGGGCATGATAAAGTCCAGAGGAGTGTAGCCAGATGGGAAATGATGAGATGGCTGCCCTGAGAAGATCTGGGAGGAGTGCTTTAAGGTCCAATTTCACTCTCTCCAATCAGAGGGAGGGAGGGGCAAGAGAAATATTACATCTAAGGTCTAGTTATCATCATCATATAGGTATAACCAAGAATCTCACTGGGAAAAAGTATAATGTAAATGAAGTGATTAGGTAGCAACAAATAGAGACAAGAGTGATAATGATATGAGGAACTCATTTCTGTTCTAAAAGACAGGCAGCATCCTATAGTTGATAGACCTGGCTTCAGATCCTATCTCTGACATATACTAGCTGCTTGACCTGGACAAATCACTTGATCTCTCAGTGCCCCAGGCAATACTCTAATACTGGTCATTGCAAAAGGGTTTTGCTGATCTTCACTGATAGGAGTTTCCTTCTGAAGAATTTTCCATGACAATGAAACCACAGGTTTAGTTAAAAAAAAAAAAAAAAAACCAAATCATTTCTCTAGCACTTTAAAGTCTTTGAAACTCTTTCTTCATACTTCTAAGGTAGACTGTGCCGATATAATTACTCCCATTTTACAGATAAAGGAAACTGAGGCCCTGTAAGGAAAAGTATTTTTTATTCAAGGTGACACACTCACTAATAAAGCCAGGATACGTAAGCTCTAGACTCTAGAAGGAGAGGAGGAAGGGGTCCTAAAGGCTGGAGAATCTAATCATTTCATTTTCCAGATGAGGAAACTAAAGCTTAATGAAATGGAATGATTTACTTAAGGTCACTCTAGTAATTGACCTAGAATTCTAATCTGAGTCTTCTGAATAGAAAATCAATGTTCTTTCCACTAGTTCCACTATATATTGACTATGGACATTTTATTTTTTAGATTAATTTAATTTTCAGGACCAAAGTTTTTTGTCCTCCCCACCACCTGTGAAAGAAAAACATTAAAAAAAATCATATTAAATATATGCATAGTGAAACAAATTTCCATATTGGCCATGCCCCAAAAATAATTTTAAAAATATGCCCAAGCTGCACTGAATATTTCAGTGATTTATTGAAATTGTATATAGTCATTGTGTTGATCAGAGTTCCTAAGTCTTTCACAATTGTTTCTCTTTACGATATTCTTGTTATTGTTTAAATTATTCTGGTTCTGGTCACTTTTCTGTAGATTAGTCCATGCATGCCTTTACAAGTTTCTATGAAACTCTCACTTTCATCATTTCATATAGTACAATACTATTCCATCACATTCATACACCATAATTTTTTCAGCCATTTCCCAGTTATTGTACATCCTCTTAGATTCTGATTCTTTACCACCACAGAAGAGCTGTTATAAATATATTTGATCTCTTTGTGGCAAAGTCTTAGTTTTAGTATCTCTGGGTCAAAGAATCTGCATAGTTTAATAGCTGTTGTTGTATCCTAGACTATTAAACTGGCAGGAACCTTAGAGATCACCTAATTCTTACTCCATCCATTTTACAAATTGGAAAACTGAGACTCAGAGATATGGAATGACTTGCCTGACATTACATATCTAGTAAACAAGATTTTGAGGCCTTTTAGTTGACCATCCCTTCAGATCTTCAAACAGAAGCTGTATAATCTTTTGTTGGGTTTGCTGTAGGGTAGATTCCTGTGCAGACAAGGATTAGAAGAATGTGATATAATCTAACAAACATTTACTAAACCCTTGTTAGTTGTAAGCATTTTGTAAGGTTCTGATGACTATAAACTTTATATTGTTTGATGTTATTTTTTAATTATAGCCTGATGCCATATTATAAGGACAGGACTCCGATAGGGAGTCATTTAAACTAAATAGTCCTAACGCCCATAGAAACACATAGGAAAAACATTCGTTTATATTTTTCCACGGTTAATTCTGTATCAGGCAGATGAGGCTTCTAGTTGTTTAATGGGATGAACTCTTGACTACTACAGGGGCTTTGAGTCATTTTCCTTATGCTGAGTTAATTATCCCATCAGTTTGTGACCTCGATAAAGAAACTCCCCCTACCCAAACTTCATCCAAACCTGGTATCAATAAAGAAACTTGAAAGCTTTTCCTCCACACCTGGGCCTGATTAGGAATGCCCCCTCATATATCTGGTTCTGATTACCACACCCATTTGAGGGCATATAATCTTTCCACCTGAACTCCAACGTTGAACGTGTTCCCTCCCCAACATGACTCCTCCACCCTCCAGCTGGGGTGAGTTTCTCGTGTGTGGAGCCAAGCCTCTGTCTGTTTATATTGCTCTAGGGTGTATACGTGATTTATTTGCCTGCATGCTGCATCACATAACAATAAAGGTCATGATTGCATCATTTCCTAAGTATAAATTTTCTAGAAACCCCAAATGCAGGTATTTGCTTTAACATGAGCAAATGTACAAAGACAGAATATAAATAAAACAGCTCCTGCCCTCCAAGACATTACATTCAAATAGAAAGAATGCTGGAGATGGAATTAAGAGACCTGGGTTTCAGTCTTCCTCTCAAAATTTACTACCTGTGTGATCTTGCCAAATCACTTAATCTTGCTGGACCACTGTTCTCTCATTTCTCAAATTAGAGGGTGGGATGAAATGGTCTCTGGTGTCCCTTCAAATTCTGGATCTAGGATGCTAAGATCTTAAGGGATTCACTTTTCTCTATCTCAGCTTCCTCTTCTGTTAAATGGAGGGATTGGACTTAGCGAGATGACCCTCACCTCTGCACAATGCCAGCTAAATCTTATGACCTGTGACTTCCAAACTTGGGAGTCTTTCACTCTACCAATCTTGGTGAAAAAATGGAGTAAGGGTTTTTGTTTGTTTGCTTTGGAGTAGTTAAGGATCTTAACTTAGAGAAAACTTCGTGGCAAAGTTGGGACCAGTAGGGTTTGGTGTCTTGACTTATGATTCCTTTTCCCCCCAGCTGATGAACAACCCTGAGAAGATAGCTGAGCAGATAAGCAAGGATCTCACTTGGCTTTGCTCCCATCTCTTGGAACTATGGACCCAGTTCCTGGAAGTGGTGTCGCTGAACCCTGAAGTCACAATGTATCTCAACAAGGAGCACCATGCTCTAAGGGTAAGGAGAGAAAATAGTTTTGTGAATTCCTTCTATGTATCCACCAGTAATTTTTAGGTCCTAGAAGCTGAAAGGAGACACACACTGAATTGGTCTCATTGAAATCCACGGGCCCCAGCATGGGAAATACAGTTGGGGACTGCCATTTTAGAAAGGAAATGGGATATTATAGGCAAAATATTAGAATAGTCATCATGTTTCTGTCTTCTTAAACTGCCCTGTGTTTGAAAAAGGACTCACTGTGACTTTTGGTTGGTTTTCTCATTCAGAATTTGGTTTGGCAGTTTTGTTTTTTTTTTAGTTGTAGAGAGGATGGGTTCAGAGAGCTTGGCAAACTTGCTGGCTTCATTCTGTCATCTTGGCTCTGCCCCCCGGAATGAATTTCTTCTAAAGTTTCCTTGGCATATGTTTATTCAGTCTCTATTTATAGCTAAGGTCAAGAACAACTCTTTTTTTTTCTTCACTTACACAGTACTTTTCCTATTTTCCAGGAGCTTTTGAAGGTTATAGCTAGCGATTCAAAAATCACATCTACTGGTTCTCTCAGTACCTTGGGATATAGCTTGTCCAGGCCCGATTGCTTAAACTCGTTGAGGGAAAGGAGATGTTCTATTCACTAACTCCTCATTTATCATGGGTTTCAATTCCTTGTTAAACATTTAAATTAATTTTGTTTCCTATATGAATATTGTTCTACTTCATATAGAAAACTGAAATAAATAGTTGAGCAGTTCTGCCTTTTAAAATCACTAAGCCATCCCTCCATTTTTCCCCTTCTTTGATCTTCCTTTTGCCTTAAAATAGCCTAAAGAAGTCCTTTTTACATGCAGTATTTTAACACCTACAATAAGATGGAGATTGGTTATAAATAAGCATTGTTGAGTCACATATGATTAATGAATAAAAACTGCTCCAAGACCCCAAGCCCACAAGGAAGAAAAATAGAAGAAAAACAAAGAAAGAACAATAAAAAGTACAGAAAGAAGCACTGCTCTGGAGAAAGAACATGCTTGCAAGCCCAGTTTGCTCCTCAAAAAGGAGATCACAGGTCACATGATATAACTGTGTATACTAGACTCCTAAAAAGGCTCTCTGCTCCCATCCCCTCCCAAGGAAGAAAATGCCTCTTGGACGGTAGAACATAGAACATTAGAGCATCAAAGAATCTCAGATTTCAGCTCAGTCAGCACCCTGATTTATCAAACAAAGGAACTGAAGCCCAGAGGAGGAAAACTAAGGATTAACACAGTGAGCCAACATTAGAGTCAGGACCCCTGTTTCATAAATTGTGGTACAGGGATATTTCTGTTACAAAGCACCCCCCCCCCCAAAAAAAAGTACACATCACCACATCCCCCAGGTTGAAAGGGATGGAGAATAAAAGGGGCATATTGGTGTCTCCCAAAGATACATTTCTGTAAGTACTGTTGTCACTCCTCAGATCAACATAAATGATCGATTGGGAACATTTAAATGATCGGTAAAAGGTTATACGAAAAGGTTTAGCTAACCAAAATGTCCATTTTGGGAGAACTCCTAGGTTTAAAATAATTTATCACTTTCTTTCCTAGGTCAGAAGATTTTCAGAGGCTTTCTTCTACATGGAACATCAGAAGCTTTCTGTCCTGACATTTCAGGAAAGTGTGTAAGTAGTTTTATGCCCTCAAATTATACACACACACACACACGCATAGACACATGCACATATACACACACATATATACATATAGGTATAAACACCTATGTATTTGTGTATATATGTATAGGTACACATGTTTACACATAAATGATTTGTATATATAATATAAAACATATATTGTGTATAACATAAAATAGATTAAATATAAGATTTATATATATATATATACACACATATACTTATATGTACATATTTGTATTGATTTACCAGTTCATCTAAAACACTTACACCAAGATTCTGCTGCATGTTTTCCCATGTCCTACAGACTGAGGGAGCATAGCTTCATAAAATAAAGCATAGCCTCTCCCTTCAAGGAAATTATAACCTAGCACAGGAGAGAAGATATGTACACAGATGATAATGTCGATTAGAATGATATAGGTACAAAAAGAAAGGCACACACTATTGTGAAAGAAATAGATGTTGAAAATATTATTTCTGCCTGAAGAGAGAAATCAGAGAAGGCTTCATGAAAGAGGTGGCATGTCAAGGGTGTGCTGGGTCCAGCTCAAACCAGCTCATGAGAACCAATTCTTAAATTTTTAGTGTGAAAATTTTCATCTCAGAAATCAGCAAAAACTACAAATCAGGGCTTGATTTATTGTTTTGTTGATTATCTTAATTTAAGAAAGTGATGGAAAAATGTTAATAGTGCAAATTGAACTTAAAAATATGTCCTGTGTGTATGCATGTATATATGTATGTATACATATATGTGTGTGTATTTTTCCTGAAGCACTACTTGTTAACAAGCACACCAATGATTTTACTAGATGCAAGTATTAAGGAAGAGGATTATATGTGATTTCAATGATACAGCCAAAGACTCCAAAATAAGGAAGTTAATTGTGAATGTTCTCGGTCAGGAGAATATAAACACAAGTAATATGAGATAAATTTCCAAATGGTGGATTGGATCCGAACTGGAGAGAGTCACTAATGTCAGAATCATTCGCTTACACATTTATATATCGGAGGGACACAAACAGAGCTATAGGTTAGCAACTATATGCATGACAGATTGGAAGATGCAGAGACTGGTGGTAAAGAGGTAAGGCAGCTAATAAAATAGTCCAAAGTAAAAATGTTGAAAACCTGAACTAGGTTCATCAAAAAAAAATGTAGTTTTAATTATTCAAGGATATTTGTTTCTTCATCTCTTACTATGCAAGATCTGAGTTTGCCTTCCCCCCTCCACGAATCTGTCTTTCTTTCCTTTCCTGGAAAGATTCCAACAAATATTTCACAGGAGGAAGCTGAGTGGGTGGCATACAAGCCAAACATATTTATCAGATTTAACATAATTCTACAGAACTAAATAAAAGAGAATTGTTCCTTTCCCTAGAACCATGCCCACTATTCTTTAAAGAATAATTTAGAAGCAAGTAGTGGGGCAGATTTATCTATGTAGGAGCACTAAAGTACTCAGTATCTTGCTAAACTAATTTAGCTTAAGAATTGAGAAGAACCCTAGTTATGAATGCAAATGACTGTCCTTTTTCCTCCTCTTTTATAAAGTAAAAAATGGAAAACATCATCAAGGTTGCAGGGTGGGACATAGAATAATGTGGAGAATGGAATCGGGATATTGGTGATTCTCAAAGACGCTTTTCTTCTCTGCTAAGTACTGATCTTACTCCTCAAGTCAACATGAATAATCAAATAGGAACATTTAATTAATTCACTAATTAATTAAATGTTCAGTAAAGTCATGTTTTTAAATAATATTTTGTTTTCCCCCAATTATATAAAAAAATTTTTTTACATTTTTTTTAAAGTTTTGAGTTCCAAATTCTATCTTCTCTCTCCTCTCCCATGTCTACCCCTCCAAAAAAAGTGTCTTCTACCCTCTTCCTCTTATTCTTCCTGTTATCCCCTCTCTTTTTCTTCCTTTTCTCTTATTTTTATTATCCCAAAATCTTATAATAACACAAAGAGAAAGAACCTTGGAATATAGAATGTGAGGGAACATAGTACAATGGAAAAGGCATTGGCTGTACATAGGACCTAGCTTCGAAAACTGCCTCTGACATTTGCTACCTGTGTGACTTTGTGCACATTACTTCATTTCCCTAAATCTAAGGTTTCTCATTTGTGCAATGAAAGAGTTAGATCAAATGACCTCTGATTTCTCTTCAAGATCTAGATCTGTGATCCTAATGTCAGAACCTGGAATATTAGAGCCCAAAGAGATATTAGAGATAATCCAGGCTCCAAGCTTCTACAATACAAAACTATTGCCAAATGTAGCATACCTAACTGCTGGTTATGTCCCACCTGAGATTTTTAACCATTTTTTAAAAAAGCCTAATTAGTGTGCGTACATGAATTAGTATCCCAGGGGAGACTAACCACCTGCCTTCTACCACAATTGTGGAATTGACTATTGCCAGGCATCATTTTAGCAAACTTGGAAATGATTAGTGATGGTAATGATAACAAAGTGACAGCTTGGTGTAACAGATAGAGAGCTAGACCTGGAGGCGGGAAGACCTGAGTTCAGGTCCCACCTGTGACATAAACTAGCTATGTGATGATGGGCAAACCACTTAATTGCTAAATACTGTAGGAAATTTTCTAAGATTATGAGTTAGGAACTAACTTTATTCTCAAACAGTAGTTCTCTTTAACAATGGCCTCAAGTTGCTTCCTCAACTCTCAATTGTAAAAAAAGTCACTTAGCCCACACAGATGGATAATTGATCATGTCACCTGCCATTGAAAAACCTTAACTATCTCTTGTGTGATCTAGTTCTCTCATTAAAAAAAAAAATGGGGAGGGGGGCAGCTAGGTGGTGCAGTGGATAGAGCACCGGCCCTGGAGTCAGGAGGACCCGAGTTCAAATCCAGCCTCAGACACTTGACACTTACTAGCTGTGTGACCCAGGGCAAGTCACTTAACCCCATTACTTATCAAAAAACAAAACAAAAAAAATGGGGAAACTGAGACCAAAAGTAGTGATAGGGCTTGCACAGGGTCACATTATAATATTAGGATCAGATTATAAAGATGGTCCCAGACTCCTTGACTCTATCCCACATCCTTTCACTACCACAATTTGCAAAATAAGAATACAACAATAAAGAACATCATCCTTTCTCAATGATTTATCCAGCAAGAGATCACTGATCATTTGTAAAGGTGTATCTGGTTTTGTTCCTAAAAAAATCCTCTATTGTTTTCCTCTTCCAGCATGCTTCAGTCACTCTAAAAGTGAATTAAGATGAAATCTGTCTAAATACAGTTTAGAAAATGTGGAAATTTGTCCATCATTTAAAACCAAATCTTTCAAGTGATATTTAAAACATTAATTTCACCTTATGCATATACTCTCAGTTTCTCTTTCTCCCTCTTCCTCCTCATTCCCTTCTTTTTATTCTTCTTGTTCCTTCTCTCCTTCTCCATCTGTCTCTGTCTTTGTCTTTGTCTCTCTCTACCCCTTTCTCCTCTTTTTCTGTCTCCCTGTACTCTCACTCTGCTTCTCTCTGTCTTTCTCTCTATTTCTGTCTCTTTGTCTCTATCTCTATATCTCTGTGTGCCTCTTTCTGTCTCTCCCTGTCTCTGTCTCTGTTTTTGCATCTTTTGGTCTCTGGCTCTCTCTTTCTGTCTTTTTCTCTGTTGCTCTCTTTATCTCTGTCTCTCTGTTTCTCTGTCTCTATCTCTCTATGTCTCCCTCTGTATCTCTTTCTTCTCTCTCTCTCTCTGTCTTTTTCTGTCTCTCTCTCTCTTCTTCCTCCTCCTTCTCCTTCTCCTCTTCAGTGACATAGAAGTTATTACTTCAAGATAGATAATAAAGGACAGTTTTCATTTTTAGGAAATTCTTTCTTCTGTCAAAGTCTGCCTCCCTGTTTGCATCCGGTGCCATCTCCAGTTGTCCTGATATCATGTCACTGGACCCAGATGGCTGTGGAGGAAAAAGTGAGACTAGTGACTTTGCACAGCCCTCCTTCGCTTAAATCCAATTCACTTGCAAGTCTTGGCTTCACCTTCTTTATGTCATGGTCCTCTTCAAGAACAAAGGACAAACAACAAGAAGAAAGCTTCCTGGTATTTCTGTCCTTCTGCCTGATGGATTCTACCTTTGAATTCACACAAATTAAGACCCACCCTTCTATGACAAAACAGCCATTTGAAGACAGCTAACATGTGCCCCAAGCCTTCTACACTCTAGGTTAGCACTTTTCAAAGTTTTGATCTTAAGTCCCCATCACATTCTTAAAATTTCCTGAGAACCCCAAAGATTTCTTACTTATGAGGACTATAGCTATTGATATTTACTGCAGCAGAAATTAAAACATTTGAATGATACAGTGAACATAGTTTTGACCTCACAGACCTGAAAGGGTCTCAGGGATCGCTATACCACGGTTTGAAAACTGTTGGCCTTTGGTGAAACCTCCTCAACTTCTTCCACAGATAATCATAACCCATGATTTTAGCCCCCTTCCTATCATGCTCTCCATCTTCTGAGTTCTCACCTACTTGTCAGCGTCTCCCCACAACCACAGTGTGGTACATAGAATTCATCTGACAGTACAGGTTTACAACAGGACTGCCATCTCCCTCACTATGGTTGTGATGCTTCAATGAAGGCAATACTAGTTCTTCTCAACTGTATCATACTGTCGACTCCACTCAAATACCCAGGTGTTTTTCATAATAATAATTGTCCCTCCATGTTGCCTCCACCATCTATCTACCTGTGCATTCAATGTATTTTAAACTCAAATAGAGACATTTACATGTGTACATTATATTTAATCTTATTCAATCCAGACCATGGCTCACACCTGCCAAGACTTGGTGGAAATAGGGGAGGAGGTCTTTATTCTGACATTCAGTGGATTAGGGCTTACTGGAAAAGCAAACATGCTCAAAAAGTTAGAATAAGGGGCAGCTAGGTGGCACAGGGGATAGAGCACCGGCCCTGGAGTCAGGAGGACCT